CGCGAGCAACACGGGCAAGAAGCTTAGCGGCCGTGGGCTCCCAGGCCCCAGTGCTCTAAACCCTAAACCCTAAACCCAGCCAAAGAATTTTCACATGCCTTTCCCGCCCGCACTTTCCCTTTGTCAGCACGTACGGGCGCAACTGGCGACGCCACGCCGGTCATTGATCCAATCTGCGCAATAACAGCCTTGGTGGTCTCCAGGACACGCGCACAAAAACCTCTTGTTCTGAATCCACATTCGCTTCATCCAGAGCTTGGCATAACACCCTGTCGTCAGAATCCAAAGACACGACTCGCCATCGCCGAGAACTACTACTTGGCCAAAACTGGCCAAAAAAAAACCCTGAAATCTCCAAAAATCCTGATCAGCACTAACACCCCCCCAGCCTGAGCATTAAACACATTCTTCCCAAAGTCCTCGTGTCCCGTTTGACCTCCCCACCGTCCTGTGGTCATCAGGTTCTGAAGCTTACGGTCAATGGTCGATTGGTGGGTTGTTCTCGTCACGGCCAGGGCCCTGGATGGCGATCGCGAAACGGGCGGTGAAAGAAAGGCACGTGTGCCGAATCTCTTGGTCACTGATTGCGGTCTCACATGCATAGAAATGCGCTGAAGCTCTGCTCGCATTTGATACGAATCCCATTGTAAGCGCAAATTCCTCTTTGCAAGTCCATCCACTCGCTCGCCTAAGCCTCGCTGGTTCTGAGACATGGCCACAAGCTGCTGCACCTGACGTTCTAGCGCTCACACTTAGCTGCTAGCTCCGCTTGGAGCAGGACGCCCTTGTCCAGCTTTCTACTTTGGAGCTTTGGCTCCTCGATCTCATGTTCATGTTGCGCACTCGGCTGGGCTGCGTCGTGCTGATTCTGCGGTATCTCTGCCAAAGCAGGATGTGTTGGCGCTGCATCTCTCCTAGCTACTCCGATAGCCACCTTGTCCCGAATGCAGCTCCTGCACTGCACGTCATGCACTTTCCGGCGCAATCTCCAAGACTGCTGTCGTGTGTTGCGCCCTATCACACTGCTTTAGGACAGCTGCAACAACATCTTGCGGTAGCCCTAGTTGCTCACTAAGATTTCTTGGGAGAGACAACAGAACCTCGCCCGGGAAATCTAGTGGCGTCCTAGACTGCGGTCGGATTGCGTTCGCGATCTGCATCGCGTCTGCTGCTACTGCTGCTGGTGCTGGTTGAGGGCTAACGATGAGGGGACAGCTTGGACTCGTAACCTGTGGATTGTTTGGGGAATGTGTGGTTATGGAGTAATGTGACGGGCTCGGAGACCCTTGTAGGGCCCTTATGATGATGTGGGGTACGTCATCAAGATGATCGTAGCCAGAGATCAGCTTCGGGTTCAAGCCTCAGCCTCTTCCAAATTTCACACACACTCTTCCTTTTTGTGAGCCATTTCGCATCAATTCGAGTGCATGATCTGCCTTGCGCCGGAGGCCATGCAACTTCCCTGGGATCACTGCTCATGCTTCACTCACAAACGGTATTTGGGGCCATGCAGGATTTGTAGTATCCACCGTAGCATGAGAACAAAGAAACGGACTGCGAAGGTTGTAAATCAAAGCAAGCTGGGACCCCATCTCCGAAGCGCCATGTTCTCGCAGCCTTGGCAACCTCAGCAGCTTTCTCAGAATCGGCACCTATGAGCAGTGCCCCCTAATGTTACGCAGTGCTGTGGCGAGTAACCTATGCTGGGCATTCTAACCTCAATCCCAGCTTGCGCGGGCTCCGCGGTCAGCGGTCCGTGTGCCGGCAATATGCCTTTTGGGACCAGGTCCCTCGCCTCTGCGGCTACGTTATCTGCTGCTTCTACGGAGGGGTGCAAGGGTACTCAAAATGCTCGGCGTCCATTACTCTTTGTTACATGTGTGTAGCCGAGCGGCTGTCGCGCGCGCAGTGCGAAGGGCCGTCGCGGCCATCATGCTCAGGGGAGAGCCCCTCCCACTTGAGCCCAAGCTTCAAGTTGACCAAAGCTGCGATCGCTTCCACGACGCCTAAGCCGTGGCCAAGCAAGCAAGAGCAAGCAAGAGGGGCATTTTGCTTTGTCATTTCTGCCGCATGTCTCGCAGCCATCCATTACCAGCCCTGCTCTTAAAGCAGCAGCAAAGTTCATGGAGAAGTCTGTTTATTAAATCCATGTGCTGAAACAGCAGCAAAATACGCAATTATGAATTCCATGAATCAGCAGCATCATTGCTGCCAGCTACAGTGCACGTGTGCGTTTTCTGTGGTGCTCCACCGCATCCTCAGGTGCCGCAGCAAGCTGCGCAACTGCACTTGTATCTCTAAGACACGTATCGCCACGCGAATTAGACACTGCAGCACCTCTGACAAATTGGTAGACTCCTCTTGTTGCAAACTGATTCTGCTAGTCAGTGCATTTCAATGGAAGGTATGGAAGCTCTCCGGGAGGCAGGACGCGCAAGATCAAGGGAGAGATCTCTGTGTGGAAGCCAGCAAACAGCAGTTTAGGTGACCTTGACTGACTACCTGTGCATATCGGCTGAACATTCTTGCGTCTCAAGTGCGAACCCTTGCTGGAAGAAGCACTGTGGACAGCATCTACGGATCGTATTCGCGCATGCATCAGCACGGGATTGCTAGATTGCAGGCCGCCTGTGCATCAAAGGCCCTCCCGGTAATGCGCATGCTTCCCTCGAGTGCATATGCAGGAAAAACACAATTGGTCACGTACAGTTGTCCTTTCCTCCTTTCCTCTGCTGCAGTGCATCCAGGTCTTGGGCATCAGTATCACATATCAGCTAAGACTCATCGGACTGTCGCACACTCGTAGAGTACAATGTCGATTTGGCGCTCCTCAAGACTGCAGGGAGGTTCACGCGTGAGGCGAATACCGCTTGCTGGCTCCGGGTATCCGACGTACTCATCCATTGCTTTTGGCCAGTAGTAATCACTCTGCCTGGCATACAAAACGACAAGCTCCGGCTGCACTCTTCCAAAGGAACACTAAGCTCCGTGCATGGCCGTTCGTTGCATTCGACAAAAGTCTTCTGGGCGTTTGAGGTTCAACTCGACAGCCTTGAAGACCGTCTCCTCGTGACAACTAGACAACTCAACTAAAATGGACTCAAAATACTCAGAGCTATGCTCAGCTGTGCTCAGCTCCTTGAGCTTGTCAGAGCTCAACGGGCTTACCTCAATGAAATGCGGGAACTGCAGCCTCCCTCAGATTCCTCTCAATCTCATGTACCAAGGTGCATGAAAGCCTGTCGCGACCTCAATGCCCTCCGAAATATCCTGGGAGCATACCATAGACCAGACTCGGGTCATGGAGGCGCCTGCAGCGGCCTTGACGGAGTCGACCAGGCCCCCGGTGGCATGGACGATAGGCAGCGTGCCGTACCTGGAGTCCACTTCCAAGTCTTCAATGTTGTAAACTGCCAGACAGCACGATGGAAATGCTGTGGCCAAAAGGGTGCATTTGTGAGTACATCTGTGGCAGCCCACAGGGCTCGTAGCGGGAAGGCATCAGCAGCAAATCGCAACCGGCCATCATCTGGTGCCTTAAGAGGGATCCTGTTGAACACACGTAGTATCACGCAGAAAGGCTCAGAACCCTTCTTTCAGCTCTGAGGACGGCACTCCACCTTGGGGTCAAAGCCTCAGCTGAAAGCCCCTCAAGACTTCAAGAACCCTACTATTTTAGACGTACGCAAAAGCGGATCACAAGGCCAGCACCCACGTATCCACAAACACGGCCCCGGTGTTCAGATTCAGCCCATCTCAGCGTGTCCTTGCTGGAAATTGCTTGAAAAAGTGAAGAAGATTTTTTTTTGGATGTTTTTGGTTAATCTGAGTCCACGGCGGAATATTGCCGGTCACCGTTGCCTTAAAGAGGAAAGAGGTGAAAGAGGTGAGGCTTTGTCAGCTTTCTGGCATCAGGAGGCGCACCCATCATGATCAGCTGCACGTGGCCTGTGACCCCGTTGCCTGTGTCCTTGAATCTCACAACTGCCACAAGACATACACCACTCGCGGAGACAGGCTGCCTTTCTGGGAATCTCTGCTTCTCACACGCAAACGCGGTTTGCAGGCAAACTTTCAATTTTCTGCGAGCCGTCTAGCACAGGAGGGAGTCCATGAACGTGGCGTGAGGCGTGTCAGGCAGATGAGGAAACCAAAAGGGTGTGAAGGAGAAGTAACACGCCTAAGACAAGTACAGGCAAGGCGCTGGTCTGAGGAGATACTTGTGAGGCGCGTTCTCCAAACAAAGTTGCTCTTAGAGGGAAAAAACCTCCTTGGAAGGAGGAAAACAGGCTCTCAAGGAATGCAGGGCGCCCAGGCCCTGATAATTAAAACAACTTGCCAGCTTCAAGCTCATGAAGAGTAGCACCGCTCAGGATGATTCTGATAGTGCTTAATCATGGTCCATTACCCACAGAAAGGATGATGATGATGATGATGATGGTGATGATGGTGATGGTGATGATGGTGATGATGATGTTATACGACACCACGTGCGTGACATGCAAACATGTTCGGTCATGATCAAATGGGCAACTCTAATGATCCCCAGACCTGCATCAGCCAGGAGATCATGGAGGCCAGCACGTCCACGCCCTTCTGCCTCAACAAGAACTGAGGAGCCGAAAGATATTTCAACCGCCACGTTTGCAAGCTATGTTCAGTACCACCCGCGACATTGCACGAACATTAAATGCACATGACACACAAAACCAGCCCTGAGATGTTCAGCTCTGGACCATGTCAGACGCCCGACAAAGCCGATCAAGCACAACTGCAATTCAGGTGCTTCGCAAAGCGTTGGGGTCATGTGTTTGCCTCCTACAGGGCTTGACAGCTTCAACAGGAGCAAAACCATGGCTGCTGTCAGTGGAACAAGCCCAAACCTTGAAGGGGTTCAGCAGCTATAGCTTTGCAGAGCTGTGGGGAAACTAAAAAAGATAATGTTGGACTGCAAGAACAGACCATGACTTGGAACCCGAGACCAGAGCCTGCCTTAAAAAATCCCAAGCCTGAATTTTGTGTGGGGATAGCCTGGGCTCTTCATCCAAACAGATTTGTTTTGCTTTGGCCACCTCCGCCCGGATACATAGTGATGCTCCACCATCTTCAATGTCATGAGAGTCTACATGACGTTCTGGCTTTATCCGCCCCGCCTCAGGGTTCTCCTCCAGGCCTAACGTACGCTGCAACTGCACCTCACGAACTGCAAATTATATTTTGCTGCTTTGCTGTCACACCCTCATATAGTTGGTTTCCCACTTTGTTATCTTGCTTGCCCTGCTCGAAGTCCTCCACGCTGTAGTTGACAAACTGAGGGCGTCGAACTTGGGCAGCAACACGACAGGAGCTCTAAGCCAGGGGGCGATGTCAGAATCAACGGCAGGATCCCAACCTGGCAATCTAATCCTTCTTATTGTGATTACTATTTGTCTTCAGTCTCAGCCCGGAGCAGTCATCAATGCCGTTCAGAATCCCAGCCAGGCGCAATGATGCCGCTTTCGCTGACACGAAGTCCTGACACAATCTGCAGGCTAAGTCCTGCAGTTTCTGAAGCAGATCGCATCCCCAAGAAGAGGGTGCGGAAGGACTTTTGTTCCTGCAGGTTGAAGCCGCCCTGTGGTGTCTGGATCTCTTTTGAGTAGTTGGGCGAAACTGTTAGCACGCGGTCCGCACCTTCGAAGCTGTGTGCAAAAAAAACTGTTCTTATTTTGTTTTCAGGTTCCGAGGACGGCACAGATCAAGGCGCCTGGCAGAGATGAAGGCTGCACTTAATCGAAGACATCTCCCCCTGCAGACTGCAGTGCCTTTGGACAAGTTGATGCAGTTGCCAAGCATCAGGTCCCCAGCAGCCTGTACTTGCATCACGTCGTCCCTCTCACCTTGCTAAGCTTTTGACCTTGTCGTCGATACCGAAGAACCTGCTGATGTCGTGACCGTGGTACCTGCCGAGAGACTAGTTGGCCAAGCTATGCGGGACAGTACGCTTCAAAATGCCGAGTTAACACGGGCGCACTGACCCTGGTAGCCCATGTTGTGTATGACATAAATGCATCTCGCCTGAGAAAGCTGATGCTCAATCACACTTTCGCTATGAGCTGCTCAGGCCTGTGGGTAGCAGTTGTGCCTCCTGTACTTGTAGCACATGTAGACAGGGACCTAGGCGAGAACGAGAGGAAGAGACCTTGATTTCATTGATTTCACGACATTCAACGCGAGACTCCGGCCAGCCCCGCTTGCCAGTCATTGGCAAGGAAAATCACCTCACAAAGTGACCCTTTCGTGCACAACTGTGGATGTACTCAGATTACAAATTTGAGATTACAAATTTGTGGCTGTTAGAATCGGTGTCTGCAGAGAGCCGCAGACTCAGCTTTGAAGCTGGCTTCGCAAAGCACTCTCTGGGCAGCTGCAGTTCACGGCTTGGGTCATTGAACACATCTGTCACGTTGCCAACTAGCTTGGATTTTCGAGAGCAACGCTGCTCAGGAAGTAGGCATGTCTGGAGAGAAGTAGGAACTTGTCTTTCATTCTACCCCAGACTTTCAGGAAGGGCCCGTGGAAAAATGCCAAAAAGCTGCCGTCAAAAAGGACCTGCTCAAGAAAGGGCCTGGATGCTTTAGGAATGCTGCAAGTCCAAACCCTTCACCAAATGGCCCCCTTCGAATTTGAACCTCGTTTTGGTTCCACTCATGCTCAGCATCTAGCCTTGTCACCGTACTTGCCTTGTCGGTTGATGTCAAGGATCAGGGGAGCCTGATCACGACCAGCACACACGGCTGCCGCCTTTACCTCTTCCGAGGCCTCCATTGCTGCAAGGCACAGCAATGTGAAGCGGTGGAGGTTATCCTTAGCAGGAAATATCACAACTGTAGTCATCCGGCAAAAATGCTTCAGGAGTGATGCTGGATACTCGCGGCCATCATTGTCATTATAGAGGCCACCTTCTCTTTGAATACCGGATCCCTCAATGAAGAGGAAGTCAGTCCCCTTGCCCTGGAGCGCGAGCAAAGTGCAGAAACTGCAAGCATGCAGGAGGCCGGCTACCGCTATTTGGTGCCTCCTCGTAATCTTTTCGTAGGTGCCAGTACTTGACATTCTCCTACGGCAGTTCAAATGAAAGACTTTCCGCCGACTCATGCCAAGGGAACTGCGCACCGCAAAGCCTGAAGCAAAGCTTGAAGCAGCGTGACATCTCCACTGCAAGTGCACTTGGGTGGTCATCAGGCCCTTGAAGATCGTGTTAGGCAATGCACCCTGGATAAAGGAAAACATCGGGCTCGAGGTTTCTTATCCCATCCTCTTTTTCGAAAGGTGACGTGGGCACTGGGCTGCCATGTCGCCTGAAAAGGCAGCGTGCCACCATCGCTTCTGACTTTGGATGCCAAGACATTTCTGTTCCCAGTATACGGGATTCGGAATCCTGACTTATGAGCCGCAAGCTCTCCATGAGACAACCCAGCAAGTGAGGTGATAGCTGAGCAGGCGCACACAATGGTACACACAGCACGAGGAAGAGACAGGCATCCGGCACATCCGGCATGCCCGCCAACGATGACTATCAGATCGGGTTTGAAACATGACACTCACAGGGTGATAACAAAGCACGCGGCCACCAAGCGCATGAAAGACGGCAAGGTGCGGCACGGCGTACGGAACTGATTCTTGATCAAAGAAAAGAGGACTTCTGCAAAAGTGCACACCCCTCCAAGGCCGGTGACCGTGCTTATCTCGAGCAGCGCTTCTGGTGATTTAGCAGTCACCTGAAACGCCGAGTATAGTCCAAGAGACCCAGAGGGTTCCTACCAGTAGCTTCCAGGTAGCTACGTGATTTGCGCTTTCAGTGTCGGGTTAGGTTGGCTTCCCAGCTGCACCAAGGTTGTAACGATGTTCCATCGTAACTTTGCTGGAACGATGCCAGGCACCTGCGACTCCTGCTTGTAGAGGAAGAATGAAAGGGGCCAATTGCGGACACTTAGCATTGAATCAAAAAGCGACGCAGCTGTGACGTCCCTGCGCTTGCACCTCGAGCGCATTTCTGGTAACTGGGACACTTAAGCGCAATAAGCAGTGGAATTGGACATGCTTTCTCCCACACCCCAAAACACAAATCATCTGTGTTTTGTTGTTCGCGTCCTCCATGTCATTCACCCTGACTCGTGTCTCGCCGACATACGAGATCCCATCAAAGTGCTTGTACTTTGGCGACACCACCATGGTCCGGTGGCCGTTCCTGGCACAGCAAGGTCACTCCAGTTTGACCACGCATGCTTCTCTCTCCTGGCGAACTCAAAAGCGTAGGATGCGGCCACCATGCCAAGACCTCCAGTCCTGAGAAAGCGGCTGAGAAGCAGAAGCCGGGCAGAGATTGGCCTCTTGCATGACATGAGACAGGGCCAAGTCTCTTCGAGTAGGGGGCGACTTCGCTGGTCACGACAACCACGGGGACGTTCAGATTGTACGGGTCATAATGTGACTGCGCAGTCTTCTTCCCCTTGCGATGCTCGGCCTTGGTTTCTGGGTCAGCCATTGTCGAGAGTGCCGAGAAGCTCCTGAGAGACGCTGGTCACACATGAGAGGTTGAAAGAGCACAGGTACATACATGTGTACGCGATAGTACATGTTTGCTGTTTGCCAAATGCATTTGCATGGCACGTGATGTGCTTCAGCGTAACACCGCGAGCCGGCTCTTCTGGCACACGGAGAGGCTCTTCTGTTGGTTCCTCCTCCTCAGGCGTCTGACAGACTGTCACGTCGGGCTCTCCTGCTTGTGGCACCTCTTGTGGGGCCTCGGTCTGCAACTCCGGCACATCAGGGCTCTCGCTTTGGTCTTTCAAAGAGTCTCTCAACTCCTCCGACTCTTTTGGTTCTTCCGGCTCTTCTTCTTTCTTCGGCTCCGTCGGCTCCGTCGGCTCCGGCAGCTCCTTCGGCTCCGTCGGCTCCAGTGCCTCCTTCGGCTCTTTTGGCTCTTTTGGCTCTTTGGCTTCCAGGCTCTCCTTTGCCTCTGTCTCCGTGACCACATCCAGCGCAAGCAAGCTCTGTGAAAAGTTCCTCCTTCTCATCTCTCGATTTTCCAGAGTCACCGCCAGTGGGCAAGTGGAAGTGACCTCGGCAGCAGCCTTGTCGACGGCATTCTCGGCCATTTTCAAGAGGATCTCTTCCTTCTCTTGCTTTGCTCGGGCCTTGCCAGAGTCCTTGTCCTCCTTGTCAAGCTCTTTTGAGAATGCTCTTTCTACTTTCTTTGGTAGAAATGGGCCCAAAGAGGAAACCTCTGCTGAGGCCTTCTCCCAATCAGAGGCAGCTTTCAAGACCTCACCGGTCACGGGCGTAACGCGGTAATTGCCCTGGAAGTTTTGCCACTGAGCCGGCCCCTCCCGGTTTTCCTTCTGCACCAGGAACTTGTACTCGACATTGTAGCCTGCAGGCAAGGGCACTGGGTCAGACTGCCAGTTGGGGAAGGTGTCTGCGGAGGTGGTCATTGGCAAGGCCATGGCTGTCTTCCATGCACCAAGCGCCTCATGGCCGCCCACCACAAAGACCGCCTCTCCCGGCCTCGTCTGGGAACATCGCACTACGAAGACGACGGCAGAGCCTGCAGAGCCCGCAGGCGTTGCAGTTCCGGACTGATAGCCCGCCATGGCCCTCTCGGGTTCAGCAGCTGTGCCTATGCGTTTCCCTGATGTCTTTTGCTACTTTGCTAACGAGGGCATGGGAAGCACTGCTGCCTATCATGGGGAGACATCCGACTGACAGCATCAAAGGTCACACCATCTAGGGCCTAGGGGGCTTGACAACGGGACAGTTCAGAGCAGCTTCGTCAAAACACTGGCGGATTCTGGCGGTCTGCTTTCCATGCTGCATGCGCTCATTGCTTGCCATCAATACTATACTGCTGAGAAACAAACCAACACACAGATCACTGTAAATCGCAGCCACAAAACAAAAAAAAAGAAAATCACCGCGCAGCTAATGTAGCAGCACTACGACAGAAATTTCACCGTAATCATTGTGCCCACAATCTACCGGACGTACCCAGAGAGCATATAACAAGTGTGGAGTTGGCTACAATAAACAGCAGATGTGTGATCATGCTATGTCAACCCAGATAACGCGGGATCCTGTTTTGCCGCTCTTAGTGAATTCATAAAATGTGCTGTAACGTTCTCAGGTGATTTGCTCAAAGGTGCAGAAAGCAGAGGATGTTGCGGTGGGAAATTTTGCAACAGGGAAACATAAGGCACCCAGCAACACTCCGAAACTGGATGCCCGAAAGCAGCTTGAACACCTGCTATCACCTGCTTCAGTTCTTGTGCAACATCTGTTCAAGCACCGTTTACGAAGCTCACGAGTGTCTTTGCAGTCTCTGAACTGTATAGCCCAACTTTGAAGCCTTGGCTTTTTCCATTGAGCCGTGCCTCATATTAGGACTCCCTTCGCAAGATGCTCAGAATGCTCCCATCATGCGCCACCTCAGCCTGGAGCTTTGGCCTGCCCAAGGCACCTTAGCCGCAGGCAGATTCAGCATGCAAAGCAAGCAAGTTCAGCCATAAAATTGCAAGGCCTGTGAGGGTATTCAGCGCACTCAGCGTCAGAGGAGCGTCCACATGATCATGGGCCTGAAGCAGGAAGTTAGGCTTCACAACAGCAGCGGACACACGGTGCTACGGTGGTCTAAGGCGGCAACCGCGAGTTTGGGGGGCTCGTTGAGGTTCTTGAGCAGGGTGAAGCAGCAGATCAGCGCAGTCAGTAGTCCCAGAAGCACTCCCAGCAGCCGTGCGCGCACCACCTGTGGGCAAAAGCCTTCGAGCCCACCTTTGGAAAAGGCGCCGAAGAGGAAGGTGCAGAAGACGAGCTGTGTTGGCAGCGGCAGCTCCTTTCTTTGAACCGCTTCCAGGGCCCCTTCTGCGCCAGCCAAGCCCAACCCCATGGCCAGAAACGACAATGCGGCCAAAGAGAAGAAAGTGACTTTTGCGAGTTCTCCTCCTCCTCCATCTCCTCGAAGCCGGCTCTCCAAACTTGGCAGGTCCACCACAGCAGCCCAGACAAAGACCATAAGGTTCCCCACCATGTCACCTGTAATCATGTACAGGTACAAGGTGAAAGCCGCTGTGGGGTCTCCCAGAAACGGAAAAAGACCGGCGAAGAAGTAGGCCGCAAACTGATAACCTCGTGATGATGCTCCATGCAAAAAACTGCCTAGATGACTTACCCGTAACGCTTAATTAATTGCCAGAAGGGGCGCCTAGCACGAGCGTGCATGCCATCACTGTGCGCTTGTTGTGAGGAAAAAACCTTGAAGAATCTGCCGGCGAGGCCAAAGGGGGGTCAGCCACTTCCGAAGTGGCCGCCCTGGAATCTTGCTGGCTGTAGGCACGGGCAAGGTCCGCAAGGTTGCCATTGTCGGGCGGTGATGATAAGACGCGAGTCACGGAGATGTGGTAGATTGTGTACAAGATAGCTGCCATCAAGCAGAAAAGCCCTGGCGGCAGATAAAAGGCCAAGCGCGAAGTCAAAGGTGACCTGACGAGCTTCTAGACCAAGCAGACGCTTTTGCACCATGGTTGGGGCATGTTGGGGCTCAGCAGCTCCTAGGCTTCCTACAGCAATCTGGGGATAGGGGGCTGTGTCTTTCACATGATACGCTGCGGTAGGCGCCTCGGGCCAAATCCAGTGAAAGGAGTTGTCAGGATGGGCAGCAAAGCGCCCGCAGCGAAGCCCAGCTGCAGCCAGGAACGGCAGTTGTTGAGCCCTGCAGCCAAAGAGAAGCTCGTGTTCAAGACCATCACGTTCAATAGGCCTTGCGCAAAGCCTAAGGCCAACATCAAGTCCTCGTCCTCCGGGAAAGCCATTAGGATGTCCACCAGACAGAGACACAGGGTGCTGGCAATCAGACGAAGAGCAAGAGACGTGGCAATTCCCAGACGCCGATTCATGAACGAAAAGATGCTGGGCAACAGCAGCAAGCCAGCCACCACAGTCCCGTTGCCAACCAACATCTCCTTCACAAAAAAGCTTCTGTCTTTGCAACGGTCCATCAGGAACCCAACCGAAGAGTAGAAGGACGTGAAGGATACACCAGGCACCGCTCCCAAAAGAAGAAACAAGAGCTTGACCTCCAACACAGCGCCTCAGCTCAGTTCATCCAACTGCTTGCATAACCGAGGCACCTTTCTGCACTGCAAGGGGCCAATGGTGCCGTTGACGAAGGCCAGAGACAGATGGTCAGGCGCATAGATCTCATCCTCGGACACCTCGTCGCTTTCACCGTCTTCCCTTTCCTCCACTTCCTCAGACGCCTCCTGTTCGACAAAGTCCTGATGCAGCATCTCTTGTTACTTCTTCCTGCAGAAATGCGGTCACATGTTGGTCCTTCAATTCTGCTCCTTGGGTCTCCTGGCTGCGGATCGCGCAAGGGGAATTGATCAGTGTCTTCCTGATGCAGCCAACGTCCTTTCCTGTAGGGGTAGCACCGCCAATGCCGCCAACAAGAAAGCGAAGCCAGCGAAGGCCAGGAATCCCGGCTCACCAACCTTAGGCCAAGCTGCTGAAGCTTGCTGAGCCTGAGCCCCACCGTACCCAAAGCCCTAAAGATCAATACCTTCAACTCAGGCGCAGCTGTAAGCAGCAATGGAGATGCAACGGACCAGAGAGTGCCCCAAAAGATTACGATGCCTTTGAAACACGTGCGTCATGCTTCCTCGTGAGCAAACCTAGTGGGTTAAAAATGTTGAAAAAGATCGGCGCTGCTAGCTTCGCCCCTGAACTCCGTGCCTGTCGCGCTGGCTCGAATGTCCGTGGGAAAAGACTCTTCGCAGAAGATCATAGACACAGAATATTCCAGCGTTCCACACCTTGGCCGCTTGGCCGGCTTAGCCATGTTTTGGAAATGATTAGGTGCTGCGGTCCGGTGTCTATTGTACACTGGGGTGCGCACATGTGCGTCAAAAGCATGGCCGGCAGCAGGACGCTGCGATTTTGCAACAACGCTGCGCAGCAAAGACTGGCAAAACCTGTGAGGCCCGCCACTGCGATGTAGGTTTTGTGCGCTGCGGCTTTGGCAAAGGAGATGAAAGCACAGAGGATCCCTACGGGGACGCCCATGGACACCAGCATGGCCAACTTCTGTGCCGGAGCAAAGCCATGCTCAGCGTGTTCGTGTTCGGCCTGCCGCAGCATCTCCTCAGCAACTAAAACGAATCACCATACAAAGACAAGAAATCTTCTTGCAAGAATGAACCGTATGATAATTGTTTTTTCTTTACGCCAAGCTGCAGGCCAAACATTGCTCATGCCAAAAGTTTCAATGTTCCCGACGCTGGCCAGGACTGAGAACAGGAGCACCTGAGCAGCAATTCAAAAGTTGGGATGCTGGATGCAAGGTTGCATAATTTTGCATACTTTGTCTTTCTGTAGCCAGGCTGCAAGCTTCAGCATATCGGGTTGCAGCAGGATTCGCAAAATCTGGTGCGCTGAAGGGGGAGGGGATGCACGCCCAGCGCCTTGAGGCGAAACAGAGCTTCAAAGAGACCGAATTCAATGCCACTTAGTACTATGAGCGCTTGTAGTGGAAGCAGCACGTGAAGCGATCATGGAACTCCTTGAAGAGAGGCGCTCACATCCCGGGCCATGATGCCAGCGTGGTACATGTTGGAGAAGTCATGGACAGGCGGCGGCCTCAGTGCAGGAAACTGAAGGCACGACAGTGGACGAAAGGAGCTTCTGAGGCAGTGACCCCAACTTTCTCAGGACTTCCTGTTTCCTGGACACATCTTTGTGATTTATTCTGAACGCAGATTGCGGTAAGCAACAGATGAGGGCGAGCATCTTGTTCATCGCAGCCATGTGGTCCAAGACGATTCTTGCCTGACGATGCGACAGCGAATTTCCAGGGTTTTGCGTGTCTCCGCCGTTTTGTGTGACAAGAGCGGAACATGGATGAACACGCAACTTTTCGGGCTCTCTCTCTTCCACTTCTCCGCTCTCCGCGGCTCCGCCGCAGGCCTCGATGAGGCGACCGTGAACGGCCAGCCAGTGCGGAGAGTCCTCCACGCAGCTCGCAAGCAGCTTGCGCTTTGCGGGTTTGACGCTCTCATTTTTCGGAAAGTCTCTGAGCTTGCTTTGCTTTGCTTTGCTTTGCTTCGTGTCTGTTTTGAGAGTGTCGGCGTTGTGGGGGATTGAGGGTCCGCGGCCACTTGCCTCACTTCTCCCCTCATAATGTGGCCCCCCTCAAATCCTGAACTCCTGCTCTGGAGGCTCAAGACAAGCCACTTGGGGGCCCCAAAGCCAACCCCCTGCCCCGCTCGCCCCACTTGGGCAAGTGGGTCAAGTGGCTCAAAAGGGGCAGCCAAGCGGGACGGACGCCTTACTTTAATTTTCCCCCCTTTGCGGTCACAATGTGTGTTTTCTTCGCGGAGTTTCTACGCTTTCGCTAAGAGTCCTGCATCTTTGCGACAGAGAAGATCCTTAGCGTCTGACAGGGACATGGGAAGAAAAGTGTACGTACCGTACCTCAACATTGGCACAACATAAGAGCGGAGGCAAAGATGCAAAGAGATGGCAAGAGGCAGCTACCGGAACTGGTGCTCTGCAGCGCTCAAGTGCAGCCGCGCAGCAGCATCAGAAGTGCTGGCAGAGAAGACCACAAGATCGCCTGGCTAGGACGCCCCCACACTACCACAGCCTCGGAGGTTTCTCGCGTTTCTGGTGCCGCTGTTGCCTGCTTCCAGCAGCATTCTTCCAGTAGCTGGGGCATGAAGAGCACCTTAGAGCTTCGGGGTTCAAGGCCACTTTCCTCTGATGACCCCGGCCCCGGTCTTCTTGGGCATGGCGCCAACCCACAGCAGGCGTAGAGTTCACCTTGATCGAAACATTTGAAAGGAAAAATGCGCCAACCGCCCTTCCGAGACAAAGTGCCTTCAAGCAACCGAGGGCTGTGGAGCTCCAAAAGAGGACGAAAACGAAGCGGCGCCAAGAAGCCGGGAAGGTCTCTGCGATCATGGACATGGCGGCAGGAACCCCCAGGCCACAGCACGCTCCATGCACCAACCGCAGCATGCAAACGGCGCTGTAACCAGTGGCCAAGGTCATGAAGAGACAGCAAAGGACCCTCAGAGTGAAGCGCGAAAGCATCTGCAAAAGCAAAAAGGAAAAGCGCCGCTCAGGCTTCCACGTGCCAAGGAAGGAGAGGACCATTGGAAGGCGCCGGCCTTTCACATCTGCAAGGAAACCTGCAATGTAGTGGCCCGAGGCGAGGCCCAAGAAGGAGAAGGCGTCCTTGGGAAACTCAAAAAAAAAAAGACTCATTTCTCATTCGGAGCCATCCTGGGCTCCGATTCCAAGCCTGCACGGAGGGTTTCATTCCATGGATGGCGGAGTGTCCTGCGGGTTCACTGTTCTGCCTCGAGTGCCTCGAGTGCGTACAGTCAAATAGGGAAGTGACTAGGTGACTAGGCAAGGTTAACCTCTGGTTTTGTGGGAGGACTTTGTGAAACTAGTTGGCCGAATGGGCATAAGGTAGTAACAGTAACAGTACCTCTCCTCTCCCCGCTCTGACCGAGAGTCGAGGCTTCCAGCCTGCCAGTCAGAGAAGTGGAACTCATGCTTCAAGGCATGCGTGATGTTCGTCATGACCTTAGCAGGCTACTCGCAATGCAGAGCTGCCATAGCTGAGAATGCAGTAATCAATAATCAGAAAAACTGCGCTCATGAAGCAGGTTTATCCACCAGTACCAACTCCACCAGGGCGGTCGAGAAGACGTTGGAGAAGAACATGCCCCCCCTGGACCAGCTCCACACAGTAGCCTTGGACCTGCCCCAGAGTAAACTGCTGCGATCCGCATCAGAAGCACGTATGTCAAGGCAAGGGCGCGCAAAGTCAAGTGTCGCGCGTCTTTGACTTTGTGATGTTTGTGGGATTTTTGAGCCGCTTCCAGGTCTGAGCAAGAGAACAGAAGCAAAGAGCTATCGGCTTTCCATTTTGACTTCGGCTTCCATGAGGTGGGCGCAAGTGTGCAGCCCCCCACCCCTGTCACCACCTCTACTACAGCAGCTTTCACAAAGCAGGAGGATCAGCAGCAGCGAGAAGCATGCTAGTCATAGCGCGTGCATGTGCGTGGGCAAATGCCAAAGTGCGGCGCGCGCACCCGTGCAGACCTTGGGCAAGACTCTAAAGTTATCTCAGCAAGCAGATGCTTCTTGCCCGGTCACAATCATGCCAGCACCTTCATTGAGGGGAGTGAGGAGCAGAGGCAAAAAGGCCACGACGTGGTACCGGCCCATGCCTTGGAAAACAGGGACTTTGCGTTTGCGCAAGGTCAACATGTTTTGCATATACACTTGGTACGGGTTTGGGGCTTGTGCCAATCTCGTTGATGAGCTCCGGCAACCGGGCAGCGGTCAACGGGCCTTGCTTCGTCCTCCGCAGCAAGGTCATCTGCGAGCCTCATGCAGGCTCAGGCTTTCCGAAGGTCCAGCAACGTCCAGCAACGTCCAGCTTGGAAAGTTGGCCTCGTCTCTGAAACGATGGCGCGCTGCCCCTCCGACTAGCCTCGCAACCACACTTGATGCTCGAAAGATGCTCGAAAGCTTGTGCGTCCATGGCCCTTGGCCTTGCTAGATCTCCTGCTCCCATACGCAGCATCGCGCCTAAGATGGGACAACAAGCGCAACAAGTAGCCAACCAAGTTCAGAAGCAACTGCAATCAGCTACTTGCTTCAAAATATTCTGCCTGGGCGCTTGGGCTGGTTGCCCTCCATTGAAAACTCACATTGCGGACATAGGATGCGGCAGACAACAAACTGCGAAACCGCTTTGCTTGAGCCCGTACGGGCTGCGGCAAAAGCACAGGCTCAGCACAGAAGCTGAGAGACATTGAGAATTACACATTTATGAGATTGCATTCTGGTTAGACGGCTGGGTCCTTGCCGAAGGAACAATTGTACCGAGTAGTGCCTCTCTCATCTCTTCGCCTAAGAGGATCTAAGAGGGGTCACCAGCGGCGGGAAGCCAATGCCTGCGAAGTTTGCCAGTAGAGGTGTTTGAAATCGCCTAATTCACATGCAAGGAGGGCTCCACAAGATACGGCCCATGCTGCAGACATTGTACACGGCTGTGGCAACCCGAAAGCCTAAATCCTCGCAACCTTGACTGCATGCAGCAAGCGACTGCCGTCATGCGTCAACAAGGACCAGATCATCCAGCACGAATGGAGGCAGTAGGCGAAAAGGACGCTATGTTCGTACTCTACTTTTTCACGTCTTCTTCAGCTTGTCGGCACTTTGTCCAGCCTGAAGTACAGGACTCCTACTCACACACTCTCGCACGCCAGCCTTTATTTTCTGTCCTTGGGTACATACCACCTCAAAGGCGATGCCCAGAAGGAAGATTAGGAAGAGTGCCTTCAAGCAGCGCAGAGCAGAGCTTTACCTTCGATTCTCCAATGTCTCTCAACATGACTCTACACAGCATCAAGGGGTGCGTGCCGAAGTGCTGCGTGTGCCCGTTGCAACGTGTCCATCTGCTTGTGAGGTTCGTTCGGTGCGTCTGTTGGTGCGGTTCGTCCGTTGGGTCCTTGGCAGAGCTCTTGGACCTCAGGCATTGAAGAAAAGAGCTTTAAGCTTCTTGCCCTTGCTGGGGGACACGTGAAGAACACGCAAGTGCAAGACTTCTTTGACACTAGCTTCAACACTTTGACACCTAATTGACACTTTAGCACTGCACCAACACAGACTCCACGTCACGGAGACTAGTGGGTGGCAAACCTGTTGAGACCAAGGGGCTGCTCTGACAGACGCGTAGAAGCAAGGCAGGCCAACGAGGAGTAGTACCTGGCTTGCCACTTTCCGATTCCACGCGCAATTCGCAGACCTGTTCCCAAGAAGTCACCTGCTCTTCCGTTGGTAGGATGACTCATGAAAGCATGCCATCAGCGGCTGCACAAGTGGCGAGGTGAGGGCTTGACCGCCTCGCATACCTGCCAAGGCTGCAACATGCTGCAATGCTGCAACGCTGCCGAGCTCCACACAGCAGTCGCGCACAGGTTTGCGAGGATGCAGGTGCCAGAGAAGCTGACTGGAATCCTTAACATCCCATAAGAGCTGAAGGAATCTCCAAGCTGGACACCGGAATCAAGAGCAATGAATTTTCGGCAAGCGTCAGTACACGAAGGCAATGGGGAAAAGAGAAGAGAGTGGGCCTGAAGCAAAACAAGTCAACTGGAAACCGGCAAGGCAAAACTGCCGAGTATTGCACAGCAGGGTGCAGTAGTAGACTTTGGCCTCATTTCACGTCTTTCCGTCCACTCCCCTCGTCAAATCTTGGCAGTTCTCGTGAGCTCTCCGCTGCATTCGCTTCTCCGAAGTCAAACACGGCATCCACTGCCAGCCTGCGGATTCTTCAAGTGCGCTTGTCTCCGTCTTTGCTGTCGGCCGAGGTCTGGCATACCCAGCAAGGCAGCAAGGCCCAGTACCTCGGCTTCGCTGCAATTCAAATCGGTTCTGTTTGCATCGAGTGTCTTGCCACAGCTTTCTTGGCACCGGGCGGACCATGGCGGTTTAGTGTCCGAATTGAACATGGCAGAAACTCTGTGGGCGGCAACTCGACTTTCTTAGGGCACAGCGCCACTGGATCTTTACAAGTCGGCCTGTCTTGATAATGCGCATCAGTCACGTGGCACTGCTTTCGACGAGGTGCTTGGAAAAACCAACCGCCACAAACATCAGAACATCTGAAACATGCTGTGCGACTCCTTACCTTCGTACGACGCTCAAAGATCATCATATCATAATAGCCCGTTTTTGGTCACCCCAAGTTGCTGCTCGAAACCTCGGTGAAACGACGCAGACGTTAAGGCGCAGTCCCCTTTGGGGCCAGGCGCGCAAGCCGACTGCCAACGGCTGTGTTGTACCTCAACAAAGCTTATGTCAAATGTGCCGTGGCTTTGACTCTTGCGAGAAGTCTCAAGACTCAAGCAGCTCAAGCATTTCTCCTTGGGGGGCCGGCAGCATGGCCTTCCGGGCAGCATCCAAGGGTCCAACCGATCGCGTCCTGAATGCTTCATGTGCTTCACGGAATTGTCATGGCTTCCCGACGCTGAACATCATTCAACACGCAGCTGCTGCAGCCCTCAACACGAGGGAGCCAAGCTGCAGGCCGCCTGGAGCCCTGGCGGTTAGATGAAGCAACTTCCACATCACTCCAGACATCACAAAAATCACAAAAATCATCTCCAGTCTCTCTGGTTAGCCTCAGCGGCTGGTGGAAGACCTGTCACAGCGGCGAGGACCTGCATGCCACTCACGGAGCAGCCTGGCAAACTCCGGCAACCCTGAGCTCGCGGCGCTTCCGCTGCTACTGTTCTGCAAGAGCCTCCTTCATTCAAGTCCCTTTCCAGGCGGAGCTGCCTGCGGAAGCAGGCAAAGTCTGTCCTGGTCTTCGGATCGGTTGGCCCGCTTCCATCTCCATGCATAAGCAAAAGCATCATTGGAGACGTCCGGAACTCCCTTGCAATCGTGCGGGTGGCCGGTGTCCTGGGTGTCCAGCGCATGGCAAGCGGATTTGAGATTTATCTGGTTCCCTGGCAGACCGTGCTTCATCTGGTTGATGTGCAGCTTACGCCAGAGTCGGATGGCCTCCGAACTGCTGAACCGCTGAACCGCTCCAGCAAGCTTGCAAGGTCATGACCTCCTATGATCTCTAACACTCCTCACATCTCCTCACAATTCCACAGAGCCGCTTCGGAAGAGCTGTCCAACGTTCCGAAGTTGGCCGCAGCCTGTGCAGCCACACAGTGACCGCACTTCTGAGGTGAGCAGCTTGATCTGAGCACCAGGCACAGTCCGGGTCAAAGAGGCACATAATTGCAACCTGAGAAATTCAAGTTGACACCAAAGCCGATTGGGATCTCGGGGGCCAGCATTGATCTGATCCACGAGCTGCGTCGTAGCATCTGGAAGCAAGCTCAGCAAGCCGTCAACTTTGGCTCCCCCTGGCAGCCTTCCCCATGGTCTGCGTTCTGCAGAAACTTCGGGTACTGTAACAGGAGGGCCTGGAAAAAGGCGGCAGTAGGACTCTACTTACCAGCTGAGCAACCCCCCTTCAACCCGAGTTTGACTCCACGGCTCCAAATGCAGCAGGGTCAATAACACTGGAATTGCATGCTAAACCCTGAAGAACACAAGCTTGTCTGCTTTGTTATTGGAAGGATGGCTTTCAACGTCAAGCTTGCTTGCAGGTCATGGGTTTCCCTGTGCTCGACCTCCCTTCCCGGCCTTCTCGATTCCCCATTTCAAGAAGAGCAAGAAGACCTAAGACTCCGATAGCGGATGCTGGTCGAAGCTGAGGCCAAGACGAAGTGGGGAGGGGCTTTTTGGCAGATCTTTGAGAGGATGTATGCGGGCTTCATTGCTGCCCAGCTACTGGCACGAAGAACTCGCGAGCGCGCGCGTCAGCCTTACCTACCAGCTTTTTGAAGAGCAGCCCTTCGCCTCCGATTTTCCTTGGCAGCTGAGATGGTTACAGAGCCTGCTTCGAGCCAACTCCTCCAACCTGGACCAGCTCTCCTCTCAGCGCGTTCTCGCATTCTGGTCCACACTCCACACTTAATCCGTGGACCAAGCAGTGGAAATCCTGAGCCCTGAGTTTGGGCGTCCTGCATGGTGAGGACCAGGCTCTGTCGTGTGGTTTCCGGGAGCCTCCGCTGTGGCCTGTGCGCGTTGCAAACATCGCGCATGTCTGATCATTCTGCATCTGCAGAGCAGGCGGATGGAGGTGCGCAAAGGTGTTCCAATACGGGAGGTGTGCACAGAGACCAATCCTTAGACGCTTTCACACCGATGTCTAGGCTGGTCCCTCCTGAAAGTCCTCAGAACTCTTCGGCTCAGGAAGTTGCAGGCGCGAGATCTCATGCGAGCACAACAGCTGTCGCACGTCATCGAAGAACAGCCTCAGAGACCAGAAGGAAGACACAGCTCTCCCAGAACCTGAGGTCTGTGGTCCAGGCGGGTCCCGGCCTTGGCAAGTACGGCTTTGTCCAGTCGCTCGTTTCGCTTCTTGGGACCCAGGCGCCAGGCGTGTGGAGAGCAGTTCTAGTGGGAAGGCATTCCTCCCAGGTGCCAACCGGAGCAATGAGCATTGAATAGCTGTAAAATGCCCACAGGGGCTCTCGCTCTGCGTAGTCGGCAGCTTCAAGCTGCAGCTGCTCCACGGATATCTCGCATTGCCAAAACCCCACGACAAAGAAAGACACGGGAAAAACGGACTGCGAGCGTCCGGACATCCGTAGATTCGTAGAAAAGTTCTTCTTTTTTATCGTCCGGTCACCCGCAGCGGCTTCCTCAGCTCTGGCACCAGCTCCGCAGGAACCTGGCATCGAGAGCAGCCTGCATCCTCTATGAACTCTTTTTGCTTCTACGACTCCTCTACGAGCTCCTTTGCCTGTACTCGGTTTGCTTTCAAGAGCTCCGGGGACCTTAGCCCGCCCGCTTTGATTTCCAGTGGCTGGAATTGCAAAAATCGCCCAAAGGGCTCAAAGGTTCTGGCTGCCAAGAAATCGTGCCGTTTGAACCTGGCAAATCCATGAGTCTACAAGCTCTGCATGACAAGCAGGACAAGTGGGGCGCCTCTACTGCAAGCAAAAGGCAGGATGAATTTCCTCCAGTCTGAAATGAAGATATGCTGCCCGCCCCCTAAAACCTGCATGCTGAGCTAAAAGCAATGCCTGCGCGGTGACAAGTAGCTTTTTTTGCCGTGCTATTTCAGACCTCTAGTTTTCCAGAATATGCTATAATCCAAGCATCCAGAATTCCAGAATCACAGACACCCAGAATTTCACAATTCCGGAATTCCACCATGTCAGAATCCCAGACTTCCAGCATTCGAGAATTTCCAGCTTTGCAAAGCCTTATAATTCCAGAATTCCAAATCTGGAATTCTGGAATTATAAAGCCCTGCAAATCTGGAATTCTGAAAATATAGGGCCTCGCAAATCTGGAATTCTGGAATTATAAGACGTTGCAAATCTGGAATTCTGGAATTGTGGAATTCTGGGATTCTGGAATTGTGGAATTCTGGGATTCTGGAATTGTGGAATTCTGGGATTCTGGAATTCTGTGTTTGTGTGATTCTTCTTCTGTACATGTAAAATTCTTGGAAATCAGGCGGGGTCTTAGAAAATGGCATGCGTACGGGGCTCATAAGTCCGGGTTTGCTCTCCTTTCCTCGCTTCAAGACATCTAGAATGACAATCCACCTTCATTACCTGAAACATTTACTTCGACAGTCATTTTCATGCATATGAAAACCTATATGTCTGAAGTCTACACAAATCTTCCAAAGCAAAGCAGTTTTGCTCTGCAAACGAGAAAAAGAACTTTGTATAGCCCCAAAGCAAGCCACTTGCAGCCAATAGGGGTTCCAGATAAGTAGCCATTTCATAAACGAATGTGACTGAAAAAGCCGTCTCTACCCAGTTCCTATACAGCCCAGATAGAATCAAGAGCTTGAGTTCTCACAACCTCCTAATTACATCATATATGCCAATCCTGTGTAATTGACTTAGGAAAAGAGGATCTCCATACCTTTATTGATGGCGGGGCTGCATTATCTCCCGATTCGCTGCCTCTCCAAGAGTTCTTCTTGCGGGACCTTCTGCAGCTTCTGGGGCTCCACGACCAGCTTGGCCAGCTCTCCCAGTCTTCCCGCGTGACTGAGCTGGAGCTGCTTGGGCTAGGCGGCCACTCTGCCCAGTCACCCCACACGACTGAGCGCATGACCCCGGTTCCTTGCTTTGTTTTGGGAGCTTCGGGCTTCCAAGGAACCCACTCTGAGCTATCCCAGCTTTCCTCACATCTCTTGCACAGCTTGCCGGGATGGTAGTCGTCGCTGAGCATCCAGTTGCCGCAACCATGTATCAAGCAGTACCTCTGCTGAGCCATTGCTGCTTGTGGAGGGGCAGGGAATGCACCACACCAACGGGTGGTTAGGCCAGGCAACGCTACACACGAAGGCTGCCCTCACCGAAAGGGAGGTAGTGCCCGAAGGCCTCAATGGGTATCTCTGGAACCTCGCGGTTCTTCTTCTCTTGAGTCTGAATCACTGGAGTCAAACTGATGAAGCAACGCGATCTTTGCCTCTTTGAGGAAGGCGGTCCGATGTGGCTCTTTCAAGAGGCCTTTCACGAAGGCAAAGATATCGTTGAGTTTCAGGCCAACCACCTGATTATTGAACCACTGGCTCTTCTTGTTCAAGTCCGAGGTGGTAAGGTTGCCTTCCAGCAACTGCCTTAGGTAATGAAGGCGGCCTGGCGCCTTCAGGCGTCTAATTTGTCCTTTGTCCGCTCTGCTGAGCTCCTCCGTGGCTAACAAGCAAAGGAAAGGCTCACGCTCAGAGGTGGCACAGGCACAACCGCACCTCCCACAGGCGGTTTGTGGGAAAAAGCCTCCACAGGGAGCCCAGCACGAAAACTGTGAGGTCTTGCTGTGGCTGGGGTATGTAAAACAAGAGCTCCCGTAGAGCCATGGGAATCCTCCCGGCACACAAGAACCCCCTCCGTGTTGCAAAGGGTAAGCCTCACCCACAGGGAGGTCAAGGGACAGGCACGAGCAAGGGAAGGGACAAGGTATATACCTTACTGCAGCGCCGAAAACGACCCTTGAGCCAAAATCTTGAGCCAGGCTTGTTCTCAGCGACCTCTTTCTTCAGTCGCTGCCAAAGCAACTGCTTGTTTCCAGTTACTCCAATTCCAAGCAACTTGCACGCATTTTTCAAAGTCTTCAACGTGCTTTCTGGCGTAATTTCTACTCCACCAACTATCATCTTTTCTTCGAACTCATCTTCCCCAATGGTGGGCAATCTTGATTCCAACTTTGCTTGTTCATCCACTTCCATTGTCGTTTTCGGCTTGTCCGCACTGCTGGACGGTTCTTCTCTTGGTGGTTCTGGCTCTACCGTCTTCAGCTTCTCTTTCTTCATATTAAAATACCTCGAAATTTGTTGCGGCTTTCTTTCTAAGATCGTAATCACCGCATCCGAGATCTGATCGAACTCTATGTACTCAAAGTTCTTCCATTCTTCTGCGCACGTGAACATTTCCACGTCTTCCCACAAGATCGTATCCCCTTGACAGGGGCAGAGTAAGGTTGTACGGGAAGGAAACATCTCGAGTGAGACGTCTGGCGTCGGGTCGTACGTTCCTTGAAGGAACCAGTCGAACCGGGCAGGACGCCCGTCCGGAAGAAAGAACCAACCTTCGTGCCACTTCTCTCTGTCAAGGCACTCTTTCAATGCAACATGAAGTTCAGACTTGTTCGAAACTCTAACTTTGACTTCAACTTGAACTTCAGGCTTGGCTTCAGCTCTGTAGATCCTCACATCTGTCATCGTTGAATTCCTATGAAATCCAATCGGGATCCTGGTGTTTCCTTTCACCAAGAATGCTCTCTCGGAGTCGTGGGGTTCCATGCCCCATCCGGCCCTGTATAATTTCCTACCGCGAACAACGGTTGCG